TTCCCTGCTGTTTCATGCTGTTCCCTGTACCTGTGCCTATACACATGCCTTTGTCTAGGTGGTGGGTCTTCTGCCTGGTCTCACTGAGCTACTTTGTTCAGCTGGTCATTGATGGCTTTATATTGGCTGGCTGCTAGGGTAACATGGGTAACCAGACCTCATGTCTCTCATAATCAAGTAGGCTAAGCCAGGCTTGCTTTCATGGAGGTCTCAGGGTTCTCCCGAGAAGTAGGAGAGAGTGGGCTCCAATGCACAAGGATTACTCAAGTGTCTGCTGGGGCCACATTTGCTTTTTTCCCATTAGCCAAAGCAAGTAACATGGCCAAGACCAGAGTCTCATGTTGATGAGGAGGAGCTGCAAAGATTGTGGATAACAAGTGGAACACACTCCTTAGCCTTCTGGGTGTTACCTTCTCTTCGTTAATTCATCCACTCATTTGTTCCACAGTCTTTATGAATACCTAAGCAAAGCCCTAGGCAAGGCACTGAAGATACAGAAATTTTTCTTAGTGACTGAAATTTATGTTCTAAGACCGTCACTCAATAACTAGCACATTCAGTAAAAGACAAACTAGGATTTGTGGAGGTCCCAGAAGGTAAGGTGGCCCTCAGGAGGTCTCTCTGCATTCTTCACCATTTTTGCAAAAATTGCTGCCTTGTTATTCAGAATTCCATATTAATAGCCACTTTTTCCATAAGAATCAGAAACCAAGACTCAGAAACAAAACTGTAAATATTTTCAGTGCGTATGTTTTTAAAACTGTGACTGAAATATTACTGCATTTCTTTGGGAACCTACAAATTTAAGCATGAAACTGATAACGGCATTTTCACTAAATATGTAGATGTCAAGGTGAGTTACAGGAGCATTCAACATTTTAATTCCTTAGGCTCCAAGTTGTTCACCTGTTCATAGGAAAAAATAGCTTCTGGTAACTTCAAATTCATACATGCAAAAATCGCAGAGACCAAACGTTCAAATGAAAATCATTTTAGAGACAACTCCCTAAAGTTTCCATATGAAGAGTGTTTATTTTTCTCTAGGATTAGAGCAGATTGCATCGGCAGCCCGGTCTTTCATAAAGAGGAGGGTGGGGAACAGAGTTGGGCCTTCATTTTCTCACAAAGGCACAATGTGAAGCGCATCTGTGAACATTGCATAATTTGTTATGTTCTACAAAGAGGTGGGTTTTTGTTGTACACATACCGAAGCTATTTGGTACCGTTTCACCAATGATCTCTATTCAGGTCCAGAAAAGAAATTGGCCTCAGAAGAGTGAAAGGAGAGTAAATTTTCTTTAAAAATTAGATACAGATTATCACTTCAAAATGCAGGAGGGAATTTTACAAGTGCCGGTGTACTGATTAGCTTTCCAGTGGACATCCAGCTCTTTATAAAACACATACTAGCTGTGGTCAACTGTGACCGATGTGGTTTATTACTCTCCAGAAGGGCTGAACTGAGATCACCCATCTAATTTAATTGAGAAATGCTGGATGAACTTGAACTGTTTCATGGACATGAATGACCAGAGAATTTATTTGATGAGACATTAAAGGCTGAATATGGTAACTATCTCTTTGATGGTTTAGTACAGTCACTTCTTTAGTTCATTAGCATGTATTTCATATTTTTCATTATTACCTGAGCAACCTAAATGAAAAAGGCAAAATAATAAAAGCTTTTGTACAGCGTCATTACAAAAAATGAGCAACCTCCCCTTTGTTGGTAAATATTTGTGATCATTGTAAACGTAGTTAACACTTTTAAAAGTGACATCAGCTTTCCAGTAAAGGAAGTTCACAGCAATTAAATTGTGGAAAACATGAATATATCCAATGTTTTTTTTTTATGTGATAGTCCCTAAATTATTTTCAAAATGTTGTCTTCTGACTTCATTCATTAAAACAAAACCAAAAAAAAAAAAAAAGCCTTTACGAAGTTGGCATGTTATTCACCAGATGAGCTCCTTTGCATTTTCTTGTAAACTGGGCATTGTGAGTTATAATTGGTGGCCTCGCAATGAGACGTTTACAGTAACTTTATCAAGAGTATGGCACAGAAGTGGCATCAGATGACAGTGCTTTCTCTTCATGTATGTCTGCTAACATTTAAGATAGATTCTGCTTTATTTTCAATGACTAAAGCCAAGGCACAACTTGGGTATACACATCCTTTTAAAACTGTATTAAAATATTATATATTTTCAATTATCCACAGAAAGTCAGAACTGGAAACTCTAAGAATAAATTTCAAAATCATGTAACTAGTGACTCTTTAAATAAAATTTGTTATTGAAACTTTGTCATTAAAATCGAAAGGCCTTTGGCTGTGCCTGTACAAGCACAATAAATTGTATATGTTTGTGATACTGAATGACTTTCACCCATATGCTGCACTGCAAAGCTACATGAATGACGCATTTACCATATCAGGTAAATGCCTTATACTTCATGTAACTAGTGACTCTTTAAATGAAATTTTTTATTGAAACTTTGTCATTAAAATAGAAAGGCCTTTTGGCTATGGCTGTACAAGCACAATAAATTGTATATGTTTGTGATACTGAATGACTTTCACCCATACGCTGCACTGCAAAGCTACATGAATGAGGCATTTACCAAATCAGGCCCACCACATTAAACAGAAAAGCAATCTTTATTCATGGTAACTTATCAGTTTCAATTAATCAACCCTAACAATGGAAATTCTGATGTGTTCAAGCAACTTGAAAGCAATAGGTCATCTCCAGGGCAGCATTGTCGTGTCTTTGTGCGGAAGGTTTCAAACAAAGCAACATCTTCAATAAATATACATGCATATACATACATACATGTGCATATATATACATACAAATGGACAGTTACAGCTGAGCCCTGTGGTGCCAACAAAAATGCATGTGTGTTGTTCATTATTTTTATTATAGCACATGTCATTGTTTTCCCTCAAGTATTACTTTTTGAGCTCTGCAAGTTTAAACAAAAGGAAAGAAATTTCCATTGGATGACCATCCTTTCAGTTTCTGTACTGCTATGTGAATAGCATTGTGCAAACCATTCCATTGGTTTTGAAAAGGGGTAACCATTGGTTTGATTTGGTTACACGGTTTAGTAAAGAGCTCCCTCCCACTGCCTTAGGGTCTGTGAAAGGTCTGTGACCTGTTTAGAACTGCCAAGTGAAATGTCATGTCGCCCCTCCCAAATGGGAGTATCTGCATTCATTTGATCAGTATAAAAAATGATTGGGGATGGCGAGATCAGTGCTTTTGAATTGCAATTTATAGCAGTTTACAAAAATGCACATTGTTGGAAAAGAAAACATGGAAGTGTTTCTTTCTAAATTGCATTACCTGTGAAATGTCATTAGTCTTTTAAGGATAGTTACATCCTTTTTTTATTATTTAGGAGACTAACTTCAACTAAAGAAAATCAGAATTTTATTACATTATTACTCTTTTAACCTGTATTTTAGTTTTAGTGGTAGAATTTAAGAAAACAATGTCTCTCAGTTTTTCGTGTAAACATAATTTATTATCATGTCCATTTACTGATTTTCTAAGATAATCTTTGTTAATGAGTTGTATTAGTAGAAGATTCTTAATTATCTTTCCCAGATTATAAAGGAGATTTATTCATTGGTAAATTCCTTGTCTGCTGATTTGTAAAAAGTAAAATCTCAAGCACACTTACCTCTAGCAAGTTTCCACTATTCCTTCAACATTGTACTACCAAACTTCTTTGTAAGATGAGTACTTTTCTAAATTATGGAACCCATCAACTCACCTACATGTATGCATAGTTTTATACCAGGAAATTTCATTTCAGTAAATGTACAAAAGAATATCTAAAGCTTATCTAAAAAGCTTAGGTAGCCTGTTCAAGTTCACAAGAGCTGAATGCAGCCTCCTGGAGTTTCTGGGGTGCAGGAAACTATGCCCTTTACACTATTTCCAGCCGTCTCACGAGCTCCGTATCTTTATGTAAGGCCGCGTGTAGCATTGGACATTACTTTAAAGAAAGCTTTGAGTAAGCAAAGTTACCTCGGGAAAAGGCTCTTGGGGCTTCCCTGTTTGATACTTACTAGAAAAAGAAAGGCCTTTCTGCAAAAAAGACTTGACCCAGATAGACTCTGGAGCACTCCACTTTGAACCTCCCAACCATTGAAAGCCGAGGTTGTCACGTTTTTATCTTTGTTCATGTTAAGCCTTGGAATGACAGCCTGGCTCCTGTGTGTTCCCCTCTCCCACTGCCCTGGCTGTGAGTGTCCACATTGACACCTACCGGTGACCGCAGGCTGCAAGGCTTTGTTGCCTTCTCCACGCTCCCGGCTTTCAGTGGGATTAGCCCAGGGCCTTTGTTCCCCTTCAAAGCTGGAACATCACATCCCATGTTGTGGCTTTCCTGTCTCAGACCCCCAGTGCTTTCCTCACAATTTACACACCAGGTAAATGTTCCTCCCCACAGGGCAGAGAGTCCAAAGTTGAGTTGGGGGCAGGGGGACATCTTCCCATTCCCCAGTTTCAGAGCCCAGGGCCAATGTGGTTTTCTTTCCTTCTCATTCGTAATTTTCTATTTCACATGGAAGAAAGACTGCAAAGCAAATGGAAATTTAAATCTTGGAAAATTAAATCCCTGGACCCAATCACGGACAACTCTTCCCACTCTTTTTATTCTCTTACAATGGCTTCAGCAGAATGTTGGGTACGGGCCTTTATCCTGGGCACCTAAGACCATTCCTGCAGTCTAGAGCTGCGGGAGAGCCCCAGACTGTCTCAGAGCAAAGCCTGGCCGGCACACGCTGTTTGGAAGGCCAAGGATAATCTGCCTGCCTGCCCTACCTCCCTCACCACCTCTCTTCCAGGTTCCTGAAGACGCTTCCTGCTAGGGCCAGGCCTGGGAGGACCCACTAAACTGATGCAAAATGCTACAGAGGGAAGAGTGGGGAGTGGTTTGTGTATAATAAGTAAAACACAGTTTATATCTGTCCATCTCACGTTTAGAAACGTCGGAATCCCCGAAAGAAGAGCCCTCGGAGAAGCTATCCACGCACCAGAGCAGCCCTGCGGCTACTGATTAACTGGGCAGAAGCCTGGGCTGCGCAGACGGGGCCACAGAAAGAACAGCCTCTGCTGTCCTGGTGTAAGATGCCTTCCTGGCAAAGGATACTATCTCCAAGAATTTGCTAAACTAATTGTTTAATCTCTCTGGATTATGTACACTAACCAGCACTGAGCTCGAATAGACCTCAATGCGTGCCTTGCGTGCGCTCCTTTCCGGGCCCTTAAGGAAAGTGCTGGCTCGTGCTGGGTGGGTGGGGCGCACTGACCCTGTGTGGCGACCACCTTCATTGCGGCGCTTCCCAGACTCGGGGGTCTAAGGGTGGGAAGGAGCAGACTTTAAAAAGTTTGAGGCACTCAACTTGTTTGACTCCCTCTCTAAATCATCCAGTCTTCATATACCAAAAAAAGTCCAAGTGATTTTATGTCTCTTCACCCAATAACTATTCCCCATGAAGGAGAGTCGTAAAGACTAGAGGGAGATTGTACATTTCCTCAAGGAAGATTCATTCTTACCCTGGCACAGGGAACCTCGCCACATCTTAAAGGCTGTCAGCAATTCTTTAGTAAGTAGGGAAACTCTGGAGTTTTGCTTCCTGGTAAGCATGCAAACTAAGATTCTGTTGGAGTGCCAGGCACCATTTACCAAAAGGCCGATTTGCTTTTCCTCCACGCCTAATGTCCAACTTGGCTCTTCCTATTCCCCTAACTACTAGTCAGGCCTTGTTAAGAGCCTGTATCTGAATCCTAGGCTCCGAATTACAGAATTCTAAAGTTATTAAGTGTCAAGAAATATATTTGTGGTAGTTGTCACATAGAGCTGATATACTTTAGTCCAAAAGAAAGCTGGAGAGGCTATTTATTTGTGCGTAAAAGGAACAAGATTTAAATGGAGAGAGACGTGTTATTTTCAACGCAAGTGCACGGGGTGGCATAGCGCTCTGTAGCATTATTCGAGCTTCATCTACTATGCACTATATGCCGCTGTCTCCAAAGGAGTGTTGCCCTAGAAACTTGTTTTAAATCGGCTGCTATATATCAACACCTTGTTTTAGCAGTCCTTGGCTGAATTACAGTTACACAGTTTGGCGCTTCTTTCAAATTTCCTCCCATCAGTTTGGCTAAAGAAAGGAATTTTTCTCCTTTAGAAATGAATTGGCTTAATTAGTAAGTAGATTAATGGCAATTGCTGGTGAGTTGGTTTCCAGCAGAGTTTCACCAGAGAGGGTTAATCGGAGTCAGGTCTGGAATCTTTCCCAGAACTGGCTGCCAGCCATTTCCACCAACCAATCAACCCTACAAGAAACAGAGGAAATGAAATAAAATTTATATTCTCTGTGCCATCACCCTGGACAGAAATTCCTTCGAAGCAGCCTCCTGGTTGGGTGCAATATCAAACTGCTTCATTTCAAAACTTTAATAGAAACTTTAAACTGCAAGATTTACCTGGGTACCAAACCAAAGTTTCAAATGGCATAATAAAGGTCTCCACAGAACCTTAGATGTATTGGAAATTTCTGAGGCTCTCAGCCAATTTCAGGTTGGGAGAAGTTACAAACCACCCAGGTCTGGCCCTAAATCTGTTGTCCATCAGATGACCTTCAAAAGTTTTGCTGTACGTTTTGCAGCCTTTTAACTTATTTTTTCCATAGTGATGAAAATGCATTCATAGTTTAACTTGCAGCTGCATTAGTCTTGCAAAAAAAAAAAAAAAAAAAAAAAAGTCCCTGCTGAGAAATGCATATAATAGGAAAAACAGATCGGCTGGACAGCAGTGTAATTAATGCCAGAAAGGGCTGAGGCCGGTTTCATAGTTTGTCTTTTGAGGATATCAAGACGAGACCTGTGAAAAATGACGCATGCTTTAGCATTTCAGAAAGCTGGCAACTGGCAGCGCTTTTCCTTTTTTCTTTGACTTTCTGCCGCGGAACAAAGAGGTCCGCAGAACTAGCTAGGTTGTAATGAGTTCTATGTCCCTAGCACATTAAGTGCATCATGGAAACATATTGTATCGAAATAGTTTGGAGGAGAATACTGGGGATGAAAGAGAATGGGTGCTTTGATCAGCTCCCTGGGGTCCTGAGCACGCACAGACTGACTTGCAAGGAGTTATTCAGCTCCAGCTAGACACACTTACAACACCATTGAAAGAAATTTGCATATCTGTAATTTATCACATTGGTCCAGAACATTATTGCAAGGTAAATAAAAGTTACTTGAATAAAAAAAATCAATCATCGCAGATATAGGGAAAACATGAAGTCAGTCTTTCCACTGAAAATAGAAATAAGCATTTCCGTAAAACATGATGACTTAGAAGCTGACTTTATTTAAAAATGCCTTTAGAACAACAGGTTATGCCATGGCAAAAACAAGAGTGGCCACAATTTTTTTGCCTTTCTGCTTTAGGGGAGTGTGTTCACAGCTTCCCACTGGAATAAAGTCAGAAAGTCGAGATGCATGTGTCTATAATCAGCCTACAACATGCAGATAAAAATTAGTACACACTTTGAGCAGTTATGAAAGACGACTTGACCTCTCTGGCATTTGCAAATACTAAGGTTAAATCTCATTTCTTCTCCTGTTGATTTCATTCCTAAGCCTTGTTTGCTGAATTTAGTTCAAGAGGATGAAATGTCCAGAGACCGGTCAATAGGAAAACTTGCTTTCGAATGCCCCATGAGAACAAGTGAAAATTTAACAGGCAGGCATTGTTCTGAGTTTTGAAACAACCCAGTTAAACAGCAAACAAGAATCTTCAACTTGACCTTGAAAAGGCTGTGTGCCTGCGGATAATCTATCAAACAACACTGGATGACAATGATATATTTCAAAGTATTGTCAGATGAAAAGATTGATAAATTTGCTGCTGCAAAGAGAGAACTTTGGAAACAGGCAACAGGCACTTTAGCTCTCTGACTCCGCCTCCCCATTCTCTGTCCTCACTGCCCCATCCCCACCCCACCAGCCCCAGCCAGCCTTGAGGCCAACTCTGTAGACGAAGGCCAGTAAATCAGCACTGTAATATTTCTTAAGGGGCAAGGAAAAGCTGTGAACAGTACTTCTCATATTAAACGCAATATTTCTTTGCTTTCGCGGGAACAAAAGTCATAGCAAGACGTCTTTATGGCTAATTCAGTCAAAGGCACATCCCTGGTTCCCCCCGAAGAAAGGTCAGTGTCGTTGTGTTTGGTCCTCCGAGGGGGTGTTTTCACACTGAAAACTGAGCCAGCTGTCCCTGTCATACCCTCGCCATTGGGGAGCGCGCACTAGCCATGGTTATTAGGCACTTCTACACCTGCAAAATACACCAATTTCCAAGACTTTTCAAGACACCCTCCCTTTCTCATGCCCCCTCCTCTTGTCTACTAAACTTTGACAACACAATTCAAGCCCTGGATGAAAGCGCTGCAGGCAAGAAGAACTCTTGGGAGGGGTGGCCCAGCTACCATCTCCCTGTGTCTATTGAGCGTCCATCAAAGAAATGAGACGTCAAGTGTGCTTTCAAAAGTACGGAAAAACTTCCAGATAATCACTTCGAGGTGTCACACATTTGCTATTGCCACACACGTTAACTGTTGAATCCTAAATATTTTTATATGCACCGGTATGAGGTCCTTCGTGTAGAAGTGGCTTGTTTTAAAATTTGCAATTAGCATGTCACTGACAAGCGCCGGGAGATAACATTTCTTTTGAGTTGCTCAATGCCAGTGCACGTCTATGCTTTTAAAGTCCGAAAGCCAGCACTTGCCCAACTGGATTTCATAATAAAACTTATTCTAGAAACATCCCCTAGCTAGGCTCATACCCTGAATCCCATTCCAAAGGCTTGCGCTCCTGAGATAAGCTACTAACTAGCTATTTGGGAGACGTTCAGCGACTCAAACAGGAAAGGAGCTAGACGGGATCCTGTGCAGTCGCTGAAGAGAAATTGTAACACTAGAAATAATCCAGAAAAAATATCTTTAAGAGCGAGAATACCCCAAGGTGCCGGTACCTCTAAGACAGAAGGG